GGGGGGGGGGGGGGGGGGGGGGGGGGGGGGGGGGGGGGGGGGGGGGGGGGAGGGGGTGCATAGATGGCCCCGGTTCCCATCTGGTCGCGGGGGGTTGCCCCGCCTACTCACTCTCCGAGGCCCCAATGATAGCAGCACGGCCCACCAAAAGTATCCGTTGAATAGGTGCCGGCTTTCGAAATCACGTGTGACATACAGGAGGACAAATCAAGCTAAGCACCGCTTTGATTGCGGCCGGCATCTACGTTAGTGCCGGTGAAATTTGTTGGCGCATCCCATTCCGTTGCTCGTACAATAAGCCCGCCCGCCTGCGTAGACGAACGCCCTCCCTCCAATGAATCAACAACCGCTTGCGGCTCACACGTGTGCCCCTCCCTTCCTGCTGTTTTTCGCCTGACGTCGGCGACAAAAGAAATAATCGCGCGATCTAAATCTACATGTATTCCGCTAATTGGCCCGATCGTTCCAGTCTCGCGTGTCGACGGTGCTGGAGTCTGTCCGGGAGACCGGGGTGGGGTACCGCCTCCTAAACCTCCTGGCCTTCTACCGCGCCACCGTGGGGCAGCTCGCCGGCCTCGACAGTCCGGTGCTCCAAGCGCTGTCAGAGTGCCGGAAGAACGCCGACGACACCTTCCGACACGCAATGAAGCGAGAGGTCCGATGCGGTCGGTGGTTTTGGTTGGTTGTTGTTGAGTTTGCCGTTTCGGACGATGTATGCACCGGCTGAGCTTACGGCCACCGCGCTCCAACAGCGGGATGGCCAATGGAATCAAGACGACTCACCCTTGTTTGACGGCCAAGAAATACGAAATTTTCGCATTCTTGTCTGCCCCCCCTCCCCCCCGTTCATCGTGAGGCCGCGGTGTACTGTGCGTTTCTGCACGCGTGCTATGTGTTGTTGCGTGGTATGCATATCGGCACGGGGAGGTTATGACGGCACGTTCTATGGTCACCGGGTCGGAGGACGAAACGCTCTCGAGCGAAAGCGTGTGCGTGCGCGGCATGCGCGTTGCGGTTCCGGTTAGTGTAATTTTCTCTGTTTTATTGGTGTGCTTCTTTGCTCTTTTCGGCGGGCCTGAAGAAGATGCGTGCTGCGGGCCGGCGTGCGTGGCAAACGGGCTTGGTGTTGACGCTCGAGGGGCGGCAAAGCACCCGGGACGGACGCGCGTGAGACGCACAAGCCGTATTTATTTTTTTGTATGGTCCTGCATGGTTGGTTCTGGTGACGATTGCCGTTCTCGGGTTGGAAATCTTCGTCTCTGTTGTTCTTAAATTTCAGGTTTTGGCTATCTTTCTTCATAATGGTTGTCTTCATTTTTCTCTTTTTTAACGTACATCCCTGCTTATCTCTGTGTGTGCACATTGAGTTATCTGAGTTTGTTCCCAAGGCCCTCATCATGATTTGTTCACGTCACATGTGTTACTTACTGCATGCGTCTTACGGTGCTCCGACAGGGCGACAGGCTCGTTGCGTCCCCTCCCGCCTACACGGCCGACCTCTCGGCGCTCCCCGCGGCGTTGGACGGGGCCAAACGCCTTACCGAGGTGTTGCAGGTGAGACGGCGCGATATCCACATCATCGTGTTGCTGTCCGTTTTTTTCTGTGTCGGCCGCCCGCTCGCTACGCGTCCGAGTCGGGCCTTTGCTTCGGTCTTTCTCAGTGGCAAGAGAAAGCTGGAGATGATGATCTCGACACGTTTGCGTCATCAAGGATTATTGTTGAACTTTTGCGTGTTCTTGTCTTCGTGCTTCTCTTGTCTGAGGCTTGGCGCGTGTCGTGGCAACGGTAAGACGCCCCGCCGCCCCACCCCACCCTCTCGTAACATTAGCGACACGTTCGGTGCCCCCTCCTCCCTGAACCGACCCGCCGCACGCCTCGCCGCAAAGATGGGGTATAGGCGCCTGCCCGGCAGGCGAGAAACCCAGACGCAACTGCTCGATGTACGTAGGGTTGCAACGAAGGTCGGCTTCGGCAACACTCTTTCCACGAATGATGCGTTCACGAAAGCCCCTTCAGTCCGTTAGTCCTAACACACACTTTTCCCACCACCGTTGCATAGGTGCACTCCACCTCTTTGGTCCCCGCCGGCGAGCCGGAGTCCGACGTGCAGCCGGTTCTGTCGGGCATCGTGGAGCCGTTGCTGAAGGCTTGCCGCCATAGCGCGGACGGGCTGGACCCTTCGGACGGGGCCGTATTCATGCTCAACAACATCGACGTGATCCGGGAGGCTATCGTCGCCCACGCGGTGCGTCTCTCTTTCTCTCTTATTTTCCAGGCTCTCTTGGCCGTTGTCGGTCTCTCTCTGTGTCTGTCTCACTC